TTAGTCAATGTAAATACAATTGTGAGCTGTTCAACCCGTTCAAAGGTATTTGCAGACACCTAAATGATGTCTATTATTTAATCTCAATATCGGATTCTTTAAATTCCATCAAAACAACTATGCTTAATACGCACGGTTTGTCTATGTCGTGTTTAAATTAACGTGCAATCCTAACATCTCACTATGACTCGAAAATTAGTTGGTGTGTTTTGGCGCTATAGGTTGTCAAGCTTTTGCATTTTTGCAGTGGCTTAGGGATTCACTTGCAATTTGAATCTATGCCGGTTGTTAATGTACTTTTGTGCTAGTTGTGTACATGTTTTTTTTTGTTCATTTTTATTTGTTTATACATGAATTTTTTTTTTTCTTTACTTCTCCTTATATACTTCGTATTTGTTTCTTAATAATAATTAATATCAGTTTTACTTCTAAGAGTGAATTGAATTCGTCTGTTCATTTATTTTAGCTGAGTTTCATATGTAAGTAAATAAATAAATAAATAAATATCCGGAGCATCGGGATAAAATGGATATGCAAATAAATTAGGAAGCTTATGTCGCAATTTTGGATCAAATTGAGAAAATTCATGTATTAGTTTTCCACATATGGGCACGGAGCCATTGGAAATGTATTGCGATCTTATTCAACCAAGCAGATATGAATAACGGTAGCTATTCAATGGTATAACCAAGACAATCGATAAATGACACATCACCCAATAGGGTTGAAGGATACTGTTGCAGGTTGACTATTGACGAACTAGAGGTTTTTACTATCCCATCTCATCCCTCACTGCATCATCAGTCATTACGCATCTACTATTCTAAGCATTCGTGAACAGTGTTGACATCTGTTTGCCATTTGCTAAATACGAACTCGGCCTTTATGTGTTTCTGATAATTCGAAAATTGTTGGTAGATATATATTTTTATGTAATAATATCTATGAAATGTCGTCATAAGCCGTAAACTTTTTTCCATCTGATGTTCGATCGTCTTTCTTTAAATATGCCACTACGTGCTTTCGTTATGTTAAAAAGAGGAAAAAGGTTTTGATGAAAAGCATTAGGAGGAATCACTTAATCTGAGTCAAATATGATTTCTTTCCAAATAAATTTTGACGTTACGAGCTACGAGTTTTCCTCATCGTTCAGCCAATTTTCGAATTCCGTGTTGAAAAAGGTCTCGTCTTGTAAGGCTGTATTCGTTAGAATCGAAGCATGGTTCGAACAAGCAATAAGTCTTATATATTCGAACCCACGTTAATCGGTAGAAGTAATATTTGCTGATAATACCGGAGAGGGCTTTAAACATTTCCTAATCGAGTGTTAGTATATGGACCTAGATTTCCTCATGCTGATAACTCACGATATCATGACTATATTACGCGCATTTTTTGTCGTAGCCATCCGTCATTGGACTTAGCATTAGCATGGTTTCATCTGATTGGAACTAATTGTAATGCACCACGTGATCGTTTTAAACGGTCGGACTTTCGAGGACATTCAGTCTTATCGTCGACATTCAGCCTTATGGTCTATCACGGTTATTTAGGGTTGAGATATTGTAACACGTTCGCTGTTCACCACTTGTAAGGATTTAGCCGCACTATCCTTTGAATCAATCAGCAAAATTCAATATTCCAAATTTCAAACGACCAGCTATTCAAAGTTCCACGGTACTATGTTGTACGCGGTTTAATGCGATAAATTTTACCGTTCGGCACTTTCAACTTAACAAGAAGTCTCAGTTTTACTCTATACTGTACTAGTACCAATTACAATCTGCCTTACCGAATCAGACCAAGCTAATTCGTACTTTGAATACAATAAAAGGGATATTAGAAGCTTTTATTGGTCAGAGTAAAAAACGAAATCGTTGATTACAAATAAAAATAATAATAATAAAACAGAAAAAAAAAATGAACAAGTAATCATCTACGTCAAGTGACTTAGAAGCCGGAGAAATTTGTTGTTAATCAGCAAATTTTCTGACTACGACTATAGGAAGCACAGGAATTTAGAAAAGTAATAAATGGATACAGCAATGAAATCACTTATAGTGTCTTCAACTATTTCGGCTTGATACAACCTTTCCAAGTTATCGTAAATCCCTACATGGCACGTTTACTCTGGAATGATGACGTCTACAGAATATTTGTTGATGGAAAACTTTCAGATGATGGGAACTTTACATTTTTCTTTAAATGATTATTAGGTTGCCAAGTGGCCCTGAATTCTGGTGTACATGAAGAAGAAGGCTACATGTTTTTAGAGAAAAACATTTGTATAAATATGAAAATACATACAAAGTGGGCGTTAATATGTACACAAAATGCAAAAGTTAAAGAGAGAACATCAATTTTGTATAAATAAATATTTCATAAGCATTAAAATATTTTTCATAATAGGTCATCGGCCGTTAATGTATTTGTTTTTTTTATTTTGTTGAAAATAAATCACTCGGACTAGAGCTTTGAATGTACACACACATACACCGATTGGCCGATTCAGACATTTGTTTTTACGAGATTTCAAACAAATTATTTTGTTTGCGGTAATGAATAATTAAATTAAAGATATATGTAAATAAAAGCCAGTTAAAAAAAGCTGTTAAGCTAAAAGTTTTTTGGTTGAAGAAAATTTTAAAAATGTTTTGGTCGCACAGAACCGACAAAGAGAATAAAAGTCGGTGTAGATGTTTCACAACACATTGCATTGCGGATGGAACATTGCTTTTTTCTGGTTGTCATCAACAGAAACTCTACGAAAACAGCTTTTCTTCCATTCGATCACAGAAATTTGTAAGGCATAAAAAAAATACTTAAAATAGTTAATTAAAAATAACCAAATAAGAAACGTTGAAAAGAAAAATCGCAAACTGGATTAATTCGACAAATTTTTCGATATCGTCATCGTGTTAGACAGCGTGACAGCTAATCATTCACATCAACCAATGTTCAAATGATTGTGTAAATAAATATTAACTAAACTACGGCACTATTATTTACCTCCCAGGGGTATTGCATGAAAGAGGAAAAAAGTAAAATGTACATGAGCTTTAACATAACGCACTCGAAGCATAACGTACGTGCCTAACGTGCCCAAGATAACAAAGTTAAAGAGCAGACGTTAGTGTGGACACACATGAACAGACAGAGTTTTGAAGTAATAACCTTAACTACCAGTTCAAAGCAAACAGACAGCACGTACATAAACGAACATGGCTAAGTAAATACCGTCATGTACGATGATCAAAAACAGAGGCAAAGATCTTATGGATCCTCGTTGATCGAGAAGCATTCATGTTATTATTCATTTATTATCTATGTATTTTGTAAATAAACTTACAAAGCACGGATTTAAAGTCTGCCGGATAATTTAGACCATACGCTCGCCTAGATTGAATATTCTACCGCACTTGAGACTTGAAACCGCGTCCATTGAATTATTAGTCGTTATCCATTGCCTACTCGGCTACTGATGCTGCTCATGAGAAAGACACTGAGACATGAGGGTTAATTCATTTTGTCAAATCAATTGGGCGAAGGGGTAATCGCTTATGAAAAACATAACTCAGCTGTTTTTTTTCTAAACAGTTACGTACAAAAACGAAAGCCAACTTTCCGTGACGTGATTACACTTCAGGGATAAAATCCCGAATATACTTAGACATGTCCGTCCGTTCATCCGTAATAAACATTCTGGTCCACGTCGGCGTCAAACTTGGCAAGTTCTTGTACGCACGTTGCTATTGAAAATTGGCTGAATCGATCGAAGGACACGTCTAACAGTGCAATCTTACCTGACTACATCTCTGCTTTCTCGAATTTTTGCTCAGTACTCATAAACTACTGTGGACGCATACATTATAACTTAAAGTGAGTGCATCTCGGTATTTCCAAAAGCAAAGAAGATGTTGTACAACAGTAAAAATCTGTATATTTTATGCGCGATTCATTCGCACTCTTGCAAAAATGTGAAAAAATCAGTCGCGCCCAACCAATACTATAAAGATTCAAAATAACGTATGCTTCGATGTTTTCTTTTTGGCATAAATATGGTGGGTGCACAATATTCGGTCAGAGCTGAGTGTAGTTTTTTTATTTGTTACTGCCCTGCAGCCTATAAAGACAGTTACGCAAATAAATATTTAAATGGAGAGAAACATCGCTTTTTATCTTAAAGTCTATTATCTCTCTACACGTGCACACTCAATTGAAGAAATATTTCGGATGCTTCGGACGTCTTGCGGAATTTGAAATCAAATTATGTTTTTGCATAAATCTTCGTTTCCAAAATACGTTATTTAGTTTTTGATCACTGCTGCTCGTGCTGCTGTAGTCTCTGCGTCATTATTATTATTATTATTATTTTCGAAGCTTCCAGAGAGAAATTAGAAGAACGCGAGAGAAACTTTGCTTAACACATTCGACATATCTTTAAACAGTTTCTGTTAAAAGTTACGTACATCTTGCCCAGCAAACGTATTCAAGTATTATTTGAAATTATTGCAGTAAGTAACACGAACAAAAGCGTATGCGTTGATTGCTTGTTGCATTACGCGTAAAGCACTCAATGCGTAAACAACGTTTAATCGCAGGGCGAATAAATCTGTGAAGAAAGAAAAAAAAAACAATTAATTACGAAAAAGAGTTATTGAGTGTATGATCTTACGGAAGGTTATAAAAAGCAAATAATAATTGGAAAATATCTGTATAAAGACAAAATTGAATTATTATTAAAAAACCTTAAACAATAGGGGCAAATTATTAAATTAAAGCAAAAAGTTCAGAAAAAATCTATTTGTCCCACACGTCAAAAAGGAACAAACGGAGCTTAACAAATCAAAAATCGTTTAACTGAATATAAAAAGATAATTCTTTTCATTTAAGAAAAGTGATAAAATTATTTAAACCATTTTTTTGCAATAAAAGTAATGAATAATTTAATAAAACAGAGAGAGAGAGAGAGAGAGAGAGAGAGAGAGAAATTACATTTAAATTAATGATTAAAAATTTCGGTGCAAGGCGGATTATCGGAAGAATTATGATGCACGCATTTTCTCCTTTCTTCTTAACTGCTTTTTATCCGTTTTAACGCTTACTTGTACGTTGTACGAGCTCAGAATAAAATTTAATGAAAAATTAATCTTTAATATCTAACAAAAAGTGGAAAAATGCTACTTGACGTAGTTTACATGGTTTAATAAAATAACATAACACAAGAGAGAATAATTATATTTAAATTCATCCGGATTTTCATTAATGTCAAATGTCACAAAGAACTTTGAATATTTGTTTGATAAACTGCACAATATGTGTTCACGTTTATCCCTAAATTTCTATGGCGGATACTTGTAATGATTTAGCGGTGATTGTGGGAGAATGAGACTAGAATTTAAAAAAAATTCACCATTTTTCACCACCAATAGTATTTAGGATTTGCAATAAGCGTCCTTGCCTCTCGAAGCCAATGATCTTCGGTCGAAGCTTCAAAAGTACCTCGGTAATCGCAAAATTATATATAAATTTGTTTTGTTGTGCGGGAGCAAGTGAGAGGATTCAAAACATTGCATTCACAAAGAGTTGCATGCAATAAATGTATGACGTTGCATAGTTGCAGAGGCTCAATCCGTTGCTAAACTATTTGCTTGTTTGCCTCGTATACCCTACACCATTTGCGGTCCAAGGATATATTAAATTTGTGCGGATTTGTACGCAACGACGTGAGATAGGCCCACGTTCCCGTTATACCGCTCGATTCAAAATCACTTTCTGAGTCGATTTAACCTTGCACGTTCGGTTGTCCGTCACGCTTCAAGGCACAATTTTTGAGATATTTTGCAGAAATTCGGTACACGAACACGTTGTAGCCCAAGGATATGCGCCCTTGAAAATAATTCGGATTGGATCAGTTATTTTTATTGCCTGAATTTTCTCTGAAACATTCTAAGCCAGAAGTAATCAAAAAATAATCGAAGCAAAAAAAGAATGACATAAGCATACATAATGCCACGGTTTAGCAAAGTCTTGAACTGAGTTTATATAACGAGTAAAACCACTATATAAAAATGAAAATAATTCAAAATCGATAAAAGCAAAAACACATAAGATTAAGTTTTTTGAATTTTAAATAAAAACAAATAAGAACACTAAACTAGACCATGTTCCGCCATTACAGATCTTACAGTTTTTCATATAACGGCTGTTCAAAATAAGGCGCTACACGAAAAGTGCTCGAAGAAGTCTTGCGATCCAAATTATTTTCAATAGCGTTCGTCTTTGGATTGAAAGATGTCGGTGTACCAAATTTCCTCGAAATATATCAACAATTGGGGCCTGTGGGTTGAATATAAGGAAACAAGTGGAGTAGGTGGCCAGGTAGAGATTGAGAAGTGATTCTGAATCAATCGGTATCTTTGGAAAGGGTTCTATCTCAAGTCCTTCTGGGTGTTGAATATATCTGCACAGATTGAATACATCTTTGCACCACAAGCGGCGTAAGGTATAAACAATTGTAGTGGCATGAAAGAAAAAATCTCTTAGGTAAATAACATACCTAACGACGGAAGATGCACCAATTTAACTAACTAACTATGAAATTCGCTGTGAATTTGGAATTCAATAAGGAACCAATCAATAAGAGAATAAAGTTAATGAGTTGGAATTTTTATTCGTAACTCAATTTATTTATTCTTCTATAGATGATTTTACTTAATGAAATTAAATAAAACTTACACGATAAAGCTTTAAATTACGCAAACAAACCACAATTGCGTACGTGTGCTCAATAAATAAACCAACAGAGCTAACCACATTAAAGAACTGACATAATCAAAAACAGATTAAAGAACCGAAGTGCATTACGTAACAATCGCAATTTTATTTTAATATACTTGCAAATAACATCTAAAGACCAAGAAAAATACTTAATAAAGAAGCGAAGGGAATTCGCGTAAATATGAAGGTAGCTAATGATAAGTTATGTGTAATGTAAGACATCTTCAGAGAAGTAAAAAAAAAAAAAAAAATCCAGATTAATTGGGTTCAGTCAGTGATTAAGTACTCGGCAAAGAATTCACAAACTGAGAATGTTTAATTTAAAGTATCTTATGAATTACTTTCTTATTTAAAAAAAAAAAAGAAAAAAAAAAGCGAAATAAATTATGATTCATACAGTTTCCTTTTTCTACGTCGAAGAAAATGCACACCATAGACGATATGAATTCCTTGGAAATATGAAGCACATTGATTCAAGAATGTTCAGATATACAAAATGTGTACTTGTTGTTGTTGTTTTCATTGTTACTGAATCAATTATGCTGACCACGTCAGGGTGGACTTTGACCATATTTTTTTCACTACGTAAGCGGTCAATCGATGACTGATGAATGATTCATTTAAGTTTTCTTCCTCTTAACTGCATTTGTAGCCGCATTGGTTGCTCTTCAAGCGTAAATAATCTGCTGTTTTTATATTATATGTGGAATAATTGAGGGAATAGTAGAAAGAAAAAGACAAGTTCAACATCTATATATAGATTTAGAAATTTACATATAAATAAAATAGAAAATATATGCTCGTTACGATACCTTGATAATTATGGACGCAGGAAAGCATTTTCATACATTTTTAACATAAAAATATTTATTTCGATCCTATTAGCTTCAACATAAACTTAGTGAAGCATTGAAATAAATGTGTATTTGTAATCCAATGAATGCATTTTAACTACTAAACTATGTTAAGCTATGGAATATTTCACGAATATTTATTGCGATGCGAAATAATGTACTACTTCCTTACATATATACTGAGCTAGCAAGGCATCCTAGATCGATCGAAATTCTCGCTACAGATCTACGCTATCTGATATTTCTACCTGCAATAACTGAGATAGAAAGCAAAGGCTTGACGCGAAAACTCCTATTTCCTGTTATTCGTCCTCATTTGAAACAAGGCTATACCCGGTCACGCCTTCCGCTGAATCTCAATATCTCAATATCTCTCTGGGTCTCAATATCTACGTATATACTTAGACCACGTAAAATTTGAACTCAATTTATTTATATATCTACGCATTTGTCTACTTGTGATGTGGTCGTTGGTCGACTAGGCAGAATTCCCGATGTTTCTGACAATTTTAACATCAAGCACTGAAAAATACGCCAGAAGCTATTTATCTCTTTGGTCAATGCAATGTCCGTCTACTTCTTACATATATACAACCAGTTGAAGTTTGAAAATTGACACGATCCATCTTTAACTAAAATAGACAAGAAATAAAATTACAAGCTAAACAAGCATGGGTCAGGGCGTGTGCTTACATTTAACAAGGTATATTATGTTGTAATTCTAATTTATTATGCATTAGCAAATGTTCGTCTTACTGTTTGGTTTCGAAATTTATCCGAACCGCAGATACAGGTGCACGAGCATCTGTAGAACCCTTGAAAAACCGAAGCCAGAACTCTTCAGAAGAAACATGAAAAATTTTAAAATAATTTCTTCAATTACTTAAGGACATCCGCAAAACTCGATTTGATATGTTGGCTACCGTAAATCTAGGACAAGCGTGAATTTTACATTAGAGGTTTTTTATAATCGATATCTATTGGAGCGTATAACTTACGATCTTTGTTTAAGCAATCCGTAATTTAAACATCTCCTCGGGTGCGTTCTTTTCGAAGAAGATATTTGCTAAATTTAGCTATGGATATATGTTCATAGAAAATCAAAAACCGAATGTTCAGTAGTTGGCCCTGAGTCGTCTGAGAATTATTGGCTTGCAGTTGGAAAACTTAAGCTCAGTCGAAACAAAAGTTATGAAGAACTCGCTTTAACCAGGCTCTCTCTCTCTTTCATTGCTTGTTACAAAGGGCATGTAAAAGAATTAAATTTATTAATAATTCATCTATTTACTTCTGTCAAAGTAAACCTAAAAATATTGGTAAAGAAATTAAATAAATTGAGTAACAATGGCTGCCACTTTACAACAACATTGCTCAACACCGCCAACTAACAATGTCAATATAAATTCGAACAAACAAAATCCGAAATTAAAACGTATAGTTTATTCTAAATATCGCGAACTGTTGGGTTCCTATAATGATCAAGCAAATGCTTATATCGAGACTCTACCCGCTTATATGGTTCATAAAGACAATGGCTTTAATTTGGAAGTGAAAACCCAACCAACACCAGCAATAACAGCTGATAATGGCAATGGTGATGATATGTAAGTGCGCAAAACGATAATAAAAATTTTACTGAAAACCATTAGAGAAGCTTATAAAAAAGCCCAAAAACAAAACTGAAGAGATAACAGTGAATTTTATTATTGCATTCGTTATTTCGCTTTGTATGTTTTTAAAATATATATATATATATATATAAATAAATAATAGCAAAGCAAGCATTCCAACAGAAATATTTTTAGATAAAATTTTTTCAAAGTGAAAGGTGAAAAATTATTTTTTCATAACAAAAGCTTGAGAAGGTTGACTTTTATGGTTTTTTTTAAAGACATTAAACTTTTTTCAATTTTTTTGTTTTTATTTTATTATTTTGTCTTTATTATTATTCATCTTTTTTATTTAATTGCAAAAAACTGCTTTTGACATGAAATAAATTGAAGAAATTTAGGTGGGAGCGGGTGTTTGCTTTTAAAACTTGGACATATTTTAATTATTAATAATATTGCATCTAAAGTAAAGAAAGATAGAGAAAAAGTAGTGAAAATCTATAGTGGGGCAAAGTCAGCTATTAAATATCCTACCCCACCTTGCTTAGCGCGCCTATTCACATAGGGGCCTTTTAAAATACGGTGCTACCTGGGAAGTGATCGAAAAAGTTGTCCGATGCGAATCATTTTTAATAGCGTTCTTCCTGGGTTGGTATAATAAATTTCTTCGACTATATAAACAACTGGGGCCTGAAGGTTGAACACAAGAAAAAAGAGCTCAGATGGACAGATCGACCGACGGATGCACACGGTTCAGTAAGTATTTTTGATGAAAAAAGGTAGATATATCCCAACTCATTCCGAGTATTGCACACATCCGCACAATTTTAATATGCTCTTGTACCAAAAGCGATGTATGGTATGAAAATATGAAAAAAGCCTTCAAGAATTGAAAGGAAGAAGAGAAATATCGAAAAGGTTTTACTTAAAACAAACGTGCTCCATTCAGATGACTGCCGAGTATAATGAGTTTTCATATTTCGTAATAAAGCTAAAAATTTATTTTTAAAAGTTTGTCGCTGAAAAAGTTCGAAAACCGAAACTGAGTGTAAACTACATGTAGAAAGATGCTAGATCATTTTTAATTTTTTTATAATAATAATATTGCAATAAACGAAATGAAAAATCGCACGGGAATAGCATAAAGCACGGAATTATAGAATATAGTTTAACTAAATATTTCTCTGTTATATATGATATATTCAGTCTTGTATTTTATGTATCATTAATCGACGTATAAAAGAATTTAATCGAGTGCATACATAATTGTTATCAAAGCAAATATACTCGGATCTTCATATTCCATACCACTGGTGTTAGGTTCGTGTGGACGTATACAAGACCCAGAATGATTCGGTGTGATCGAGCGAACGATGCATATCAAAAAGAAAGACATTTCAATTCTTGTGGGTTTTAACACATTTGTCAACAACTACACAGGCTATATGAAAAGTAAGAATACGTATATGACTAAGTCGTCACAAAATCTATCGGTAATCAAAAGTAAATATATATATATATATATATATATATATATATATTTATATGGGGGTTAAGTCTTCTAAAACCTATTTATACATATCACAAACGGAATGATACTCTTTAGTAATCAGTGCAAAAGTAATTAATATGATATGGGCATGGTAAACTAGTTTAATGTTAATAAAAGAAAAACCGCATCAACTTGCTTTAAATGCATGCGTTCATATCTATGTATATGAAAAACTATTATTGCGGTAGTTGTGCCTACTTGTTAACACGAAAAAAATAAATAAATAAATTGCGTCACCTTAATTCCCCTGTATTTTTGCGGTTACTTGCTCTAATTTGTATGCTAAAGCAAACGATAGTAATACAATGGCTACCAGAAAAGAAAAACGCAACAACAATTTAAAGTGGGAGAAGTCGCATTACATATATACATATACCTACGTACGTACATAAGTATATAAACTTTTGTTGTCAAGTCTATCTAGATGATTGCGAGCGTCTGTGACTACGCGACGAATATGCAGATTTACATCGATACAAATTTCAGGGTTAAAAATAAAAAGCTGATAATGCTGACAATTTCTGAAAAAATGTATATACACATACATTTGTATACACAACACATTTGTGTTAATATATTTGTAAGATATTGCAAAAATTTATATTAAATTATAAATACAACTTTTGTATAAATAAATATGAATTACACGCATAAAGGAAATAATGTGTTTAAGAGAGTATTTGCTCATATTGATGTCGGGATGCAGTTTTAGGAAATTTCATACAAACTTGCATAACAATCAACAGACAATTCAATAACAACATATTTCGTTTATTTTATAGCAAATAATAAAATAAAAAGTTGCGGAGATATATAAGTTATCTCGTTCGATATGTGAAATCTAAAACATTGAGGCATCAAAGATCATGCCAAGTATATATTCTTAATCAACATAGTATTCGAAGTCAACTCAGAAATACGTTTTCTTTTGCTCTCTCCTTTTGAGTATGACAAATCAGTCAGGGCACACTTCCTGTATGTGTAACGTGGCAATTATGATCAAAAAGAGATAAAGAGTGACCCCGCAGCTTAATGTATGTGTGCGCAATCGATGAGTGGCAGGCCTTTACGGCTGAGCATCTACTTTAACGCTACAACCAAGCACGACTTACCCGCACTGAGATTTGAACCCGCGAACATCGACTTGGTAGTGATGGCTCTCTTCCATTTCACCATGTGACTAGTCAGATCGCTCCGCTGTTACTGTTAAGTTCGGAAACCTAGAGATTGACGAACATCTTTTTATTTTAATTTTTCCGATCAAGCTTGAAAATGGCCGTGATAATGATGCAAAAATGTTTCATGCCCGATCATTGCAATTATCTCTAGCCGGGTAGGTAAGAATCTGAGTGCGGTAGAGTTACCTTGGTCGTAACTATAGTGAGTCAGTCGGTAAAGTTATAACAGTTATCGGCTGGTGCCACCACCATCTCCCTACCACTATACTTCTTTCCCTTTCCTCACTTCTTCCTGACAGTCATCGTACTACGCGAGTAGAAAATATCCGCTGAATGACTGCTCATATCAAAATAAACAAACAAAAAAATCTCTCACAAATGCAAAAATAACAAAAATTGTAACCACTTGTAACACTTTTGCTTGAGATGGTGTGGGCTTGCAAATTTTAAATTAAATCGGTTTTCTAAATGTACTCATTGAAATTTTACTACCCGCAAATCAATGCAACTAAAACATTCTAAAAATTTTTTCCTCCTCTTGAATTAATACGAAAAGACCTTTAACGAAAACTTAAAGAGTCTACAAATATTATTACAACTTTGCTCTGTCTTTTATGAAAAGAAAAGAAAAAAAGAAATCAGACATTACTCAAACGATAGATAAATAGATTAAAGTAAAATTTCTCACGTTGTTTATTTGTTTATTAAATAAATAAACTCACGAAGAGCGACACAACAACAAAGACACAAAAGAAAATTTTAAATCGTTTTCGGATTCAGTTGAATTTTTTCTGCTGATTAGACATTAATTTTTTTTTTTTTTTTGTATTGTATGAACCTTGTTGTTGAAGCATAGCTAGTGCTGAAGCATTATCATTCTTTGCTTATATAAGGTCTTCAAGGTAACCGCGCAAAGTGATTGTAGCAATTTTATACGTCTCCCTCGCAATCATCCATTTGGAAATTCCTTAGTTACACCTTGAAGCTTTACCACGATGGAGGTAAAAATAATAAACATATTCACTTCAATAATGTGTGCTTCTATGCAAGTTACACAAATATATCCCTTGTATGCGGACAGGTATTGTGAATTTCAAATTTCACAGACATTTTCGCTGGAATTTGCATATAATTAGCAAATGTTCATCATATTTAATGCTTATTATAACTATACGCTTAACTCATTATTTCTCATTTCATTACACTAAAAAGAAAATATTACATCTCCTTATAGCAGATAAAGTAAACGTCGTGTCTCTCATGCCTAAAATTCGTATCCAAATGAACTATTGTTACATCTTATCTTATGGACATGTGTACCGTATAGCCACTTTGTTAGATAATCCACTATGTTTTTCACGTATGGTGTAAAAAACGGAGAACTGGTTTTGCTTTGATTTTCTCGTGGTAGCATGAAGAAGAAAGCACCATCAATTTTCATTCAACTGTCATTTTTGTTTGAACAATCGGTGGGCTGTTCATTTCCCTGAAAATTAAAAAAAAACCCATAGTAATTAAGAACAGAAGCCAACAATCAGAATTGATGTTCAATTGATAGCCGGGTAGTTAAGAGGAAGTGTGATTACTAAGACACTTTTCGCAAGTTCAAGCCTCTGTGCGGGTGGGCCGTACTCGCTCGTAGCTAAAGTATATAAATGCTGCCTCTACTGACTGACTGAGCGCACAAGTGCTAAATAGTCTACGGTCACTTCTTACATCTTTCCCTTTCGCCACTAATTTCTGTCTATCACTGTGTTACACGCGTGCGAAACGTCTCTTGAGCGATTGGTCAAATAATATAAAAAGAAGAACTCTTAGAGAGACCTACCTTCACAAGAAAGGGAAACAACAAAACATTAAATGAATCTGAAAAAGCTTTAAAAATAACTCGTGAGTTTCACTAGAAATTGAACGATGCTTAAGGTTATATAAAAGATTTCAGATCAGCCAATGCAGACAAACCTATGCTCGACTATGGATAATAACTTATTGAACCCACATGTCAAAATTAATAAATTTTTGCAGTTTGTTGAAAAAATAGTGGATAAAAAAAAGCGCAATAGCGGATTAAGAGGTGGTCGCGGAAGAGCAAACTGCCATAAATTCAAATAATCATCGACCACATGTTTGCAATTTTTATTGCGGAAATGTTATGAAACGTATAGATCAATGCAAAATTATTCATTATTCAAAAAAAAAAAGAGAAGAATGTAGTCTACACTCACCAAACGCCTGTTTTTTAATCGTTTTACAAGAAATCGCAC